AAAACAGAAGGAGAGGTTTGTGAACGGTGGAAAGAGCGAATTCTCGGCCTTCAACAGAATGTTAAAAGTGGCATACAACACGAAACATGGCTAAGATTTCCCTGAGGAAAGTGCTGTAGTTCGATTCACAATCTAGAAGCCGTCCTGAAAATAGTGCTAAAGAATGTCAGTTGTTGTTTCCTTATCCTTGTAAGACTCTTCCGATTGCCGAGTTGGATAAGTCCAATGCGATAATAATGGGTGGTTTGATGTCCTGGTGTGCGAGTAATGTTGCTTTGGAGATAAGTTCCAGAACGTTGGAGAATGCTTTTTTGCAATATCGTCCAAATTGCTGGACGCGCATTTTCATGAAGTTGTTCGAATAAATGTCTCATAAGAGACGCCTCATTTGGTATGAACCGTCCATGGGAACTCACTAGATCGTTGAAGGTGCATATTTGCTTGCCTGTGGTCGGTCCTGGGTAATCCGGAATCTCCACCGCTTTGCGTTTTAGAAGTCAGATGCCTCGATCATTAATAGTGTGTCCAAGAAAATCTTAAGAGTCAGTGCCGATTCGACATTTTCGAACGTTTACAGTACTGTGCTTTGTAGTCGTTCGAAGTAAAATTCCAAACGCATGCACGAAGCTGAGACTTTGAAAAACGTCATCGGTAAATCTCAGAAATGTTTTTCAGAATTTCTAAGCCGAAAGGCATGCTCAAAAATTCGTAGATACCGAAAGAGGTGGTGGAAACGACTTTCGGAATGTCGTTAGCAACCATGGGAATTCTGTTTTAACTGAGGCGACTTTCAGAAAACATATGCGTCCTTCAAGGTCGCCGTCAAATCGTAAATGTGAGGCAAGAGGTGACGGTCAGGAATGGTCTTCGCATCCATTTGACAATAGTCACCAGTTGGACGCCAGTCATTGGTGTCCTTTTAAGGGTCATGTGCAAGGGAGATGACAATAGGCTGTTTGATAGCCGAATGATCGCTAAGTCTATTGCTATAACTTGTGACCCTGTGCGCCCTGTTATTGTATAACACAACGATACCATCAATCAGAGAGCAGCAGTGACTCAACAAACACGTGAGAGCGACCTTATATCCTGATTGGTCCTGCTTTCCGCCTAGCCCAGCCAGTCTAGTCCAGAACACCAATTTCAGCCTCTGTGACATGAATCATTTATTCCAAACACACGGGGTTTACATACCAATCAAACAGATCACATCTTACCATAAAATAAAAAATAACATTCGTACAACGTTTGGCCAAAAGTGGCTGTGAATGAAGGAGGTAGTGATTAACAGACAGGAAATAGTTCAAGAATGGTAAATCGTATAATAACAGGTCATAGGTCAAAATAAAACTCATAATAAGAGGGATATGAATATGAACGGTTCAGGTATTTTCACTTTTACGATAAAATTACATGTATAGTATTAGTCCATAAATCAATCCCAAAAATTACCATACATTATTCTTATCGGGATATGTATCTATGATATGCTCGAATTCATTTTTAGACAACCTCGGTTTTTCAGGAGCTAGTCGGTGAGCTTTCTAAAATGCAGGTGGTTTTGTAGTCGTGATGTGATGTGTAACATGGCTGGTTACACATGGTAATTTCGCTTACGTTTGTAATATCTCAAAATACCTATCAAGTATTTGTTAATAGTATGGACCGATCATGTTCCTCACTGTGACTGGGGATAATCTACAACCGGAAAAAGAAGTCACAAAAACAGATAAATTAGTATTTCCGTTGATTAATCTCCATTCGCACGTGTTATTGGGTAAGTTGTGAGCTTGTAGCAAGTCTATACCGATGATTGGCATAGAAACATCTGCAACAACAAAGATCCAGTGGATGGATTTGCGTAAATCCACGTTAAGGTACATATATTGCTTATCGTATGGAGCAATCGATTTCCCATTCGCAGCCTGTAAGTCGTAAACCACTTTGTGCAGTTGGTAGTTAGAATTCACTGGAAGAACGCTGACTACCCTACCAGTGTCGACGAGGTAACGAACTTACGTAATCACACCAGTGATGAATAACAGACGGTTGTGTTCGCCGTCCACGGCTGCCGTTAACGCGTACCGGCTGGGAAATTTCCTGAAGAATTTTTCGCGTTGGTCGGTTTTCTGCTCGGGAAACTACAGGGCTTTCCACACTTTTGAGATTTTTTGTACTGATTACGATACCAGCACCAGCCAAGGTTATCTGTCACTCGTGACCTAGAGACAGGTCGTTTTTGTGAGGAACTCCGAGAAGCTTGGGAGTGTCTACGGTCATGAAGAATATCAACGCAATGTGTCAGATTAGTACAGAGTTCTGTAGCATCGTTTCGTTTCGTTTGAAGCTCTTCTTTGACTGAATATACCACGGTGCATGGTGTTCTAGTGGTCTCCGGAATTCGGCCGGGAGATGCAACCAGTTCGTCTACAGCGTCGTTTTGACATAAGATAAGCACAGCATGGATCTGTTGGGAAGGAAGTCAGATTCTGCGTAGCAGAGCCAGGCTCCAATGTTGTCAGGCCAAAATGGCATCAGCTGAAGTGAGGGTGGCGAGAGAGTCCTAATCTTAGATAATTTAGGAGTCTGTTCGTTCATGATGAATATGAGGTATTGTACATTAACTCGACTCCCAAATACTGAGAAACTATTCTTTCAAATGTAGACGAAAGTTCTTATACATACTTCCAACAGAAACAATGTCCAACCTTTATTGACTCATTCAATAGGAGAGACTAAACATTATAAGAATCTCAACATGGAGTCGACCTCTCGTTCTCTATGTATAAACTTCAACCAATTGAAAATTGAACAGGTTTGTTATAAGGTTTCTCCCTGATTACCAAACAACGGTTTGAGTTTTTTGCAGCGGGTTTGTACTTTCGTTTATTTGGTTTGTTGGTGTGTTCTTACGCATTGTATGACATTAAGATTTCTTTAAGCTACACTTTCAAGGGATTGGCAATTTTTTGTTTGATACTAATATCTAGGCTTATCACTACAAAGTGCTATCTCTACTAGTTAACATTTGCTATTGTCATTATTCATAACCGTTTTATCCAGACGGTTACTGTCATAGTTAGGACAAATGCACATCATTCAAAAGATCCAGTGTTTATGACATTCGTTAAGATAGCAGATAATTATTACAGCCTTACCACTTTCGCCTGGATCGCCTCAACATAATTTCGGGAAACAAGACGAATAATTCTAGCTACTCGGTTTACATCTTCTTGATGTGTCATCATTTTAGCCGATACATATATAATGATGACATGATAGACTACCTATTGAAGAAGTTTTGGTTTCACGTATGTCTCGAGATCTCATAGAGCCCGTAACTCAAACTGCCAGTCCATGACTTCCGTGAATAGTTAGTAACTCGAATCATTTACTAAAATGATTGTATAGTCAGGTTAAAACTATACATTTTGTGACGGCTAATGTCACTTAGTAGCTCCCCAAGCTGAAGTAGTTAGGGCGCGATTCAAATATGTGAGTGAGTAGTTTCAAGTTGCGTTTCAACTGCCAGTTAATCGTATTTCATTCAGGGTCATGGGCTGCTATGGTCCTATTAAGATTTTAACTCCCTCTTGTTTCAAATATCACAAGCTTGAGTAACTACTGACAGTTCACAAATGACATTCATTAACCATTTTAACCCATCAAGAAATGTAGTACAACTCAATTTTGAACTACGACCATATGGGGACGCGTCAAGAATAAGAACTCACTCTAAGCCGTAGTGAAGTAATTGGGACAGTTCTTTATCCTTGTAAACTATGGTCTTTCTTATCCAAAATTGTTATGTCTTTTTGTGTTCACCTCGCTGTGTTATTGTACTTAGATTCACTTGAACTGACCCATCATTCTGACCATGCTGTATATTGATTATGACTAACTTCAATCATCTTTCCTAAAGGATTGTTCGCATCAGATAAGACCACTTTGTAGGTAATGCACATGTGTTATCCATGATTGCACAACAATCTCAATCATTCCAACAACTCTGAAACACCTGCTTCGGTGTCTTGAACTTGATTTTTGATTGATGTCAGCCACATTACTTACTAATACTGACACTGGGTCAGCATATGACATGGGGCAAGGAAATGTGACGTAACTGTACAGGGCTGACGTATGTTGGTTAGTCACGATCCTCTGGACGTAGTCTTAAAAAACATAGCGCATATATATATATCAGTCAGTTACAACGTAGGACCAAGCACATATGTGCGTCGGTCCAAGTTGCCACACCTCATTAGCACAGCAATATGAACACCAAATTCATAGAAGCAATCAACTCAATCGTGTAATATATAAAGGCAAGATTGCATATAAGGATATAGTACAGGAAGAAAGAATTAGTTCGTAGAAAGATATTCAACAATTTTAGTCTCGTAGTTTAAGGGAAGACAGAGAGTGTATACACCTACGCCATTGTGATCGATTCTGAACCATGTCACAAAGAGTATCCAACCATTGGTTACGATAGTCACGCGGACCCCAACCAAGTAGTCTGCATCTACCAATACATATATATATATATATATATATATATATATATATATATATATATATATATATATACTCACTACAGTTTACTTCCTGACTAATTGAACAAACCAGAACTAACATGGTTGTCGCTTTGGTTACAGCATTCAGCTACAACTGGTATGTCCCGGGTCCGAACGCTTCTCTCTTTTTTGTTTGGCCTGTTGAGTCGTACCATTAGTCCTCATACAAACAGCATGGTCCATGTCCGATTACGAAAACATGTATATTATAAATGTATCATATTTGACTGGTAATTTCATATATTGAGCGAAGCAGTTGTACTGAAGTCGCATACATTTCACGCTTCCTTTGCATTGGTGATAGTTCGTGTTTCAAATTGATAATGTGCTTTTCTAAATTCTTATTTTTTAATAACCGAAAGACTTTTATTTCGACTAACAGGAGTTTATTAAGTTTAGTCAAATTTTCTTTTTCAGTCTATTATGAATCAGTTTGGTCACCAGTATAATGTCCAACCACCACCTACATTTTATACAAGTGATATGAATTCATTTGGTAAGAATATTCTTTCGTTTTGTATGATGTATAAGTAATTGTGTTTTAATTTGACCGGTGTTAGGATCTCGAAAAACAGCTGTAGGTTGTCTGTAAAATGAAGCAATTACCTAATCGGTCAACCAGAGAATATCCACTTAAGATTGATGCTTACGCAAGATATTTTAAATATAAAAAAATCTCGTAATTTTGTTGACGTTTAAATTATATTTCGTATCTTTGTTTTGTAATCAGTAATATTCTGACTCGGATTTTATTGGTTTCCTCTAGCTGTGCTCGTATGAAGTGTAGTAACTTCGGCCGATGCACGTGTTTTGTTTAAGTTGTGACTGACTAACTACTATGTTGCCTATTCTCAACACGCCCATGAGACAACCTTTAAGGTTTGACGATTTAAAGACTACAAGCTTTTGATTGTTCATAGCTTAACCGCTTTATTGGTGTTTCAAAATCAGTGAAAACTGATGTAGAAATTGTTATTACGAAATTTTCCGGCGCTTTAACCGAATCCCAAACCATTGGTGCACATGGGCTCCAGTATCCTGAAGGAACAAATGGCGTATGAACCAATCGTTGGTCACCGGCTACCATGGGACTGCATCTCCTTACGATGCTCCACTGCCTTGTGGATCAGACGTTCAGGTCAAAGGCTCGGGGTGGGGCCCCCTAAGAAAACCACCTGCTTCGGTTTGGGCACCCGGGCAGTATCACAGCCCTCACACAAATCAATTGAGATTCGTGTGGCGCATATGTATTTGGTGCCTCCTTGTACCAATACCTATGTGTTAAAATAAATAAAAAATAAAGTACGCTTAGTTGCCACCAACTTTAAGATATAATTCTAACAGGAGCAGGGCTATGAAGACATTGTACTAGTCAGTGGTAATGCTTGCCCATGGAAATATGAATCTGGTGGCCACAATGTTATTAGCAGCAAAATAGAACTTCCGGGCCTTAGTCGGTTAGAAACCAGTTCCAGTCATGTTAGTTCATTCGTATTATGTGGTCTTTATTTTCACATTCATCATTTATCACTTTAAAGAAAATATACTTCAATTAGGAATGCTCTAAACGTAACTATTCCTGATGTCACAGGGCTGGATAATGGACTATTGGATCATTCAAATTTGTAATACTGATGTGTGGTAGTGAGGGTAAAATGTGGTTAGTCATTGAGCGTAAACAATTACTTATGCGTGTTACCCTTCATGGAGGAGCATAGTCCACTCATCAGCATTCTCCATTGAACTCTGTCCTGGGCAGTCATTTCCAGTTGCTATTCATCCTTTGATGTCTGCTTACAATTCTCGTCTCAGTGTGTTCTTTGACCTTCCTCTTTTCTGTTTCCCATCAGGAGTACAAGTTAGCGCTTGCCTCGTAATGCAGTCTGATGATTTCCACAATGTACGTCCTATCCACCACTTCCATCGTCTTTCCCTAATTTCCTCTTCAGATGGAAGTTACTTTGTTTTCTCCTACAGTAGGCTGTTACTGATTGGTATCCGGTCAACGGACATTCAGTATATTGTGTAGACAGTTGTTTATAAATAATTGTACATATTTGATGGTGTTGTGGTAGTTCTCGAAGTTTCGGCTCCATACAGTAGAACTGTCTTGACGTTCGTACTGAAGATTCGGACTTTGATATAGGTTGACGGTTGTTTTGAGTTCCATATGTTGTTCAATTGTAGAAATGCCGCCCTTGCTCTGCTAAACCTCGCCTTTACATATGCATCCGACCCTCATTGTTCATAGATGATGCTGACTAGGTACGTGAACGTTTCCCCACCTCTTCCAGGGCTTTTCCATGAAGTGTGATTGGGTTAGTGTTCCCATGTTGTATTTGAGGATGTTGCTTATTCCCTTGTGTATGTTGAGGTCTACTGCTGCAGAGGATTATACTAAACTGGTTGTCTTGACCAGCATTCGCTCGTGTGTATGGGATAGAAGAGATAGGTCATATGAGAAGTCTAACTCTTCTAGTTGCATGTAAGCTGTCCATTGTATTCCTCAGATGTAGATCTCTTCATAATACAGTCAACCACCAGAAGAAAGAGAAATGGAGATAGTAAGCAGTCTTGTCTGACTCCGGCCCCTACTCAGAATGCATCTGTCAGCTGTCCTCCATGCACGACTTTGCAATGTAGTCCGTCTTAGGAATGCGGTATGATGTTGACGATCTTCTCAAGCACACCAGTTTCGACGAATGTTCCATAAGGTTCTATCCACTCTGTCAAACGCCTTCTCATAGTCAAGGAAGTTGGTATGTAGTGACGAATTCCATTCAATTGATTATTAATAAAAATAATATATTCGTAATATCTCATTGGGGTATTACAAATATAATATTTTTATTAATACGAATCTTCCCAACGCTCAATTTATTTGAACTTATAAAGTCAAACCTTGGTAATGACACCCACAAATTCAATTGATTGTTCAACAATGATCCATAATGCCACTATTTGATCTGTGCACGATTGATCCCTACGGGATCTGGCCAGTTGATATCTTCATTCTTGGTGTTGTCCACTTTGACCTTGGGTGTTTGATGAGATATCCTTCTTTCCAGTTTGTCAATACTTATTCGTGTTCCCAAATCTTTCTGAATAGAACGTGAGGCATGTTTGCATCTGCTTTTGTTTCTGATTTTGGTGCTTGAGATAGTATATTGTCAGGTCCTCTTACTTTCCCACTCTTGATTTGTCTGGTGGCCATCCTTATTTGTTCGATCGCTGGTGGATTGACATCTATAGAAAGGTCTGTAGGTACTGCTTCCATGCCAAAAAACGCTAACCAGAATAAATAAATTAAAACAAATAGGCACGGCTTACTGACTAATAAATATGATTTCCTTTCCTGTTATTGGTTTCTACCCTGGACTCACTGAGAGTGACTTGTGTTGAATAAAGTATTATCTAGCATTTTCTCTATTTTTGGTCGTGAATCGTGTATCTGACATAACACCAGCCTTATCGCATTACTGCATTATCGTAGTATGCCGTAGCGAGAAAAATATTTCAGATCGAACGTCATATTACTTACCTAGTATAGTTTAGTAGGCATTGATGTACATTTACCAACGCACTCAGCTCACCTTTTCTATGTCTTTTAGCTTAATTACGTTTCTCATTTACTATTTAGCTTTTTAGTGTAGTGTATTAATCAGCGAATCGGTACGAGTTCTTCATTCGGTTAAAATGATAACCCACGCTGTCTGATTGTTTGTTATATATTCACGACCAACAGTATTTATGATTACCATATAGTACGAAAACCAGATTAATTGATTTAGCTTTGTGATATTAGTTAAATACCTTTTATTTCTTAGGTTAATACTGAGGCTGTGTGAAAATTTTTATTCTTTTCAACCTTGTAGGAAATGCTGTTCAAAGACCTGGACCCAGGCCTTATAGTTTTGAAGTTCCACCTCAGGATTTCCAGCCTACACCCCCTCTTCGAAGTGACAGTGGATATTCGCTTTGTCCCTCCCAGTATTACAGCAGACCTGGGATAATGCCTTCCACGGACGAAACTTGTGTTAATTATGCAGAACAACTACCAATAACCTCTGAAGTCAGTGAAAATAGCAACGTAGTCCTTGACTATCAGAATCAGTTTGGTCTTCGTGTTCCTCCCGAGATTCCTAGCTGGATGACCTTAAATTCCTCAGCTAGTAACTTCTACACTGATATTCAAAAATACACTTCACAACCTAATCCAACACCCCAGTCGGTATACACTGGGATTCCAGTTCATTACAATAGAACTCCTGAGAACTCTACGTTTCAAAATCGTGGGCGTGTTAGAACTCCTGGTCCTTTCAAGGGAAATAGAGGAAGTAAGGTTTTGTGCGTAAATAATAATCGGATTTCATTAGACTAAAATCTAGTGTTTCATCTTAAGTTTGTTTAACGTTAAGTGGTGCAATGGCTTTTTGGATGTTTAGAGCATCTTCATTAACCTAATTACTACATTATTTTGTGATATTTTGTGGCTTAACATTCTATGGATGAAATAATTCTAGGCTGAGAAGTGGCATCAAATTTTAAAACAAGTAGAGTGGATGATTTGTTTTCTGAGCTGGATGGTTTGGTCATTTTTGATTTCGCAGTTGGCACAATTTATTTTTTAGATGATGTTTGGTTTGTCTTTTTTGTTATTTTATCCTTTGGTTTGCATAGGATTGACTGTAGTGGTTTTGTCGGTTTGTGTGCAACACCTGTTCCGAAGGTTTTCAGCAGTCTCGTTGTGGTTTCTGATATGCCTTTTATGTATGGTAGGGTGATCCTGTGTTATAACACGACCAAACCATTCAGCTCAGTAAACAAAACTCCATCAATAACAAGTAGTATAGAATAACTGTCCTTCACAGATCGTCAGTTGCATTCATTGTTTACACAAATCATGTTGAATTCTCTTTCGACAAGATAAACATATGATCTTGATGTTTTTAATAGGTCTTCGAAATCGCCCCAACCAAGGTACCCACGCCGCTAATACTACTAGTGCGACTGCAACTACAAAAGAACCATCCGTTTTTTACTGCGATATTTGCAAAGTTAGTTGTGCGGGTCCACTAGCCTTCAAAGACCATGAATCTGGTCAACGCCACAAGAAAAGATTGTCCCAGGTAAATTTTTCTAACAATTACTGTCTGATTTATTCATTGTTTTTAATTGAATTGCTTTCTTAATGCAATTAAACATAACTGCTTGTAAGCTGTCATTCATATCAAGTAGTTCTTTACAAGCTTCAAGATTTATTATCATTTCAATTGAATATGTCTTTTGCATTTACCTTCACATGTTCCACGTTATAGGAATAACCTTAAAAACCGTAATTTAACCTATCTAGAATATAATAATTAACGTTCCTAACAGTCTGATAAACTACTATTGGCGATGTTAAATAACTTGAAAACCACGCGTTATTTTTATTCTGTTGCTTGCATTTCCATTTTTCGCGCCGAAATTCATGGAAACTGCCTTTCGTTTTTATCGTCATTAAAGATAGTGATCCGTTGTTTATTTAGTAAGTTATTTTCTCACCATATTCTCAGGCTCTTTCCGAATGCACATACTGTCTTCTTTAATTAATCTTCGTGATATCTAGGTGCGTGAATTAAAGCTAGTAGTCCTAACTGCCAAATTTAAAGCATTAACTAACTATTGGGTGTCAATTCGTCGTCTTCTCAAGAATAAAATACAATGAATAGTTGATTTAATATCATTTTAACATGTGTTGTTTTCTTGTTTTTATCATTTTTTCACTGTTAGGTTGAAGCGATTGAAAAATTAAAACAGGAGGTCTCTACCGATGGAAGTTCGTCATTAATTATCAACTCAGCTTCACGAGAATTACGTTGTGAGCTTTGTGATGTTGGTTGCACTGGTGCTGACTCTTATACTGCTCATTTATCTGGCAGACAGCATCAACGTACGCTCAAGTTACACAAGGAATTGGGGAAACCAATTCCAGAAACCGATGATCCCCTTGTACCAGCTATTGTGGCAGATATGATTGCCACTGCAGTTGACGATGCTAAACCAGGTGAGGATTTTTTATATTTTCGCAAGTTGTTTACGGTTTTATTTTTTTCCTATTTCTTTGGATCCGCTACTTCACAGTGCTCATCGGTCATTGCTAAATTGTACCTTCGTTTAAGCATTTTTGAGGTTAGAATTCTTATGCTATCTGCGTGAAGGATACGTGTTTTTCTTAGATACTTTCAACATGTTGTAATGACGGGCATTCCTAGACACATTTCTGAGTAGTCTCGTCAGCTACATGAAATCCACTAGCACGCTGCAGTTTACCCACCTCTGTTTTATAATTCTTGTCATAATGTTTACTGTTTCGTTAGTTAGTTTGATTTTTGGTTGCATGAAGCTGTGGCAATCAACATTTCAGTTACATATAATAACTACTCGTTTCACTATTCAAGATGTATTTCATAAAATAGGGTCGTTGGAGAGCTGATGGGCACTATTTATAATAATATTTTGCCAGTGCGGTAGAAAACTGAAATCCGGAGTAAGTTTAATTATGGATCCTTAATATTCTTGATTTTGCTTGACTCATTATTGTTGATTATTTACTTTAATTAAATGAGACGAAACAGTGTATCGTTTTCGATTTCATTTCCATATTCTGGTACTGCTGAAATAAATTTTAATTTTTACTACGATTAACTTTAAATGGATTGCTTCCGCAAGTTTTGATATTCTTTATCATTCATTACTACAGAATACGTTTTTTATCCTTTTTACAGGTGAAGCGGATGAAAATAAAACAAATCCTACGGAAGACACGTTTATGAAGCATATTGATTTAAAACAACTTGCTGGTCCTGAACTACCTGCTGTTGGACAAGAGTATTTAGAAACTGTAAGAGCTTATGTAATATAAATTATTATGCTTTTAGTTACGTATTTTCTGAATGTCTGGTTTAAAGTTAAATAAAATAAAACACTCGAAGATAACACCAAACCTCAACTGTTGACATGATTCATACATAATGCGCGTACAGAAATGCTGCTTTCATCATGAAGTACATTTTTAATTTGACTTACGTTGCGTGTCCCGATCCACCGTCTACGTCGACGTGTGATGACGGCCAATGTTGGAGGGGGGACCAAACCAATACATGATATCTATCCACGAAAACGGTGATTAATGGAGTTGAGTCATGTAGGTTAGTTCAGACTACTTGGTTGGGGTCCGCATAATTATCGTTACTGACGGATAGAGTTTATCAACTAGCTTTGTTACACTCCTGCACGATTTATCCTTACTTTTGAACAGTTAAAATATTCTAATCTTCGTAGTCATTCATATATGCGACCTTGAGCGTGTAAGATTGTACGTATCTATCTGTATAGTTGTTTATGTCTTTCATGGCTATAAATATTGAGCCATATTTTAATTAAATAGTCTGAGAAGCCTTCCTTCATGTTTCACTTCTTACCTTCTGTCTGCACAAATGAATGTTTAGTTCGTATTTGGCTTTTATCACCACTGTCACCCAAACGGGGTTAAGTGGAAGATTTATACTGTCGTTCGTTCCATTTATCATTCCAGATAGAGTCAGATAATTCAACCTATTAGAGAGTTTGAATGATATGGCTCAAAATCGTTCTCGATCGCTCAGGTGCATTCACTCTTTATCTCTCTTTAGATCCCACATTTTTAAATTACCATATAATTTTTTTTACTGTCGCACTAATCCATATTTCCTCGAATTTTATCCTTGATGCGTAATCCTTTTTATTACTACTAATACTGTTACTACCTCTGTAATGAACGAGAACGTAAGTGGAGACAACTAAATGTATTCGAATACACAATTACTGAGTTCCTTTGTAAAATGTAAAAACCATTCATTCAATACATTTGCAAATCCTCCCTCCATTGTCTCAAACTTTATCGTCCCTCCATTGCCACAACAATCACACTCTGTTCCCGTTCTCTTCGATTCAATCTTCCCAACCTTCTGATTGGCGTTATGTCCTACTTATGTCGACATAAGTAGCACACACCACACCTCTGTTACTCAGGAATTCGCCCATCTCGTTGTGCTAATGAGATTGTAATGTGGCAACTTAAATGGATGCACACATGTGCCAGGTATCTGCATTGTGCATAACTGACTGACTAATTTAATAAAGGATATTGTAAAATGTTAACATACAAAACAGATTTCTACAAACAATAAAGTTGTCAAGTGTTTGCTGGAATCTTACTGGTCTTAAGAAAACTATCATAACTGAGTCTTTAAAATGTCATGTTCTCGAGGGGATTTGGCTATACGGTTTTAAAAAATAGCGTTTATTCCTTGTTTCTCCAGGTCAATAAATCCTAATTTGTGATCATATAGAAAATGGAACTTAAAACCAAGAGATTTTATTCATTATCTTCAACTTTCGGTTGCTATGTTCCAATCATAGGCCTAGGCACTTTGTTATTAGTTAATGGATCGTGCATTCAAAACCCTGTTTTATCTATCAAGGTTTTAGAAAGTTAAATATTTGTATACATTTTCAGACAATGGATATCAATTGAAAACACAAACCCCTTCAATATTATATGGTTAAATATACACTTTAGTAAAAGATTACAGTTTTTGAATGTCCAGTTTTCGTGTGAGTAGTTAAGATGATCATAAGTCTCTTGATATTAGATGCTTTAGACATGAAGCAGATATTACATTTTAAAGTAAATATTTTTGTAACCTCTTACGTCGTGCTTACGTGTACAAACGCACGATTTTTAACTTATCTCAATGTTAATGTTGTTTGGAAATAATTGTACTAAAGATATAATCTTTAAGTTGATCGTCATAATTCACTTGCCGTTTTTCTCTCCTTTTCGAAAAAATTTCTTTCCAATCAGATTATTAGTAGCAACAACAAAACTATTAAATATCGTTGCAAGTTATGTGATTGTGAATTTTCAAATCCAGATTCTCGTGAATGTCATTTACGTGGTCGTCGTCATCGTCAGCAATACAAAAAGAAAGTTGATCCATCGTTTATTGTCGATCCAAATCCAGGAAATCAACTTCGTCGAAAAGTGATAGCAGCTAAAGAGAAGAAGGCGAAACGTAGCGAACCAGTGGGTTCCTAGTTTTCTCTTATTAACAATATTTACTCTGTGTAGACTATTAGTAATTACTGTTTTCTCATATTCCAAAAGTTTACTAGTATATTTTTCTGACTGATGAATCATAATTACTTCTATAACATTACTTTTCAATATATTATTTTATAGTTTGCATCGCCAACTAATCTTAGCTTCACGACGATTGAGAACCAAAAAACCCTGGACAGCTATTTAATCTTATGGGATTCCTCACCAATAAACATTTGTGACCCTTCCAAGGATTGAATCCATGGACCTCGCGGTGAACGTTTAACCTTTAGACCAATGATCCGGCACCCAATGGTTTAGTTTCAATAAGTTCGAGATATTGCAAACCCCATCTTCCAGTGCGCTTAACGGGTAACTACCCCATTCCCGGCATCATTCAACTTGGTTTTCCACTAGCACTCAGAGAATTACCTATTGAAGGCAGTCATTAGATGAGCATATGGTCATTATTATTACAGGAGATTTGTGGAAAGCTTTTGATTTCACAGACCACATCACGGATTGATCGTAATTGAAGTTGTATATAGGACACTGTTGGTTTCCGATTATTGTTTAAAATCAATCCGTGATTTTAACAAGGAAATTCATCAATCGCAATAAGTCTTTTGTAACAGTATAATATTACGTATTCAAATGTTAGTACTGCACAGAAATAAATATTGGTCACTTGAGATATGTGGTAAAAAAGAATACTTCATAACTATTCCTTACGTTTGTCAATTATATATCATACAAATACATATTGCTTTGTTTCAAAGTTGCTATAATTTTCCTAATGTGTAGACTTTGATTTGTTTCGATGATTGTTAATCATAGTAAAAAAAACATTAATATTCGAGATTTCATAAAATCTAATTAAACGTTGTACAGGGAATAACAAAACAACCATGTCTGTTTAAATGTCAACATCGAGTCAAAGTCATTTATGCTGTATGGATTTTAACTATTCGGATTACAAAAACGCATTGGTTACAACTAAATAAATGATTTACAAAGGGGATGAATAGTGTGGTTCTAGATTAATTGAACACATTTGTAAAAGTTGGTCAATTGATCACTTATCTTTAAGTAATTATAATCATCCCCCTACAATTTATCAAAAGTGACCGTATATTTAAACTACTTGAATAATAAAGCCACTCCATACCTTAATGATACTAAGATTTTATACCCTGAGTCTTGTCAAAAACATTTTGCGATTCAAAACATCTTTTGGGTAACTTGGTTTATACTACTTCATCCTTAGTTAAAGACAATATATTACATTAATTTTATACCTTTTCAGAAACAAAATACTAGCAGTTTCCCCAGTTTCAGTACCTTGCGTAATAGCAGTATGACGGGAAATTGTATGAGTGGGATCCCATATGACCGTTTTTCTGCACAAGTCCCTCGAATATACACTCCTCAAACTCCTAATAAATCTCTAGAAAGCAGGTACATCAGTTCTAAACATACATCTTTGCTACCGACAGCTTGGGAAGTTCAGGTAATTATTTTTTTACTAATAAACTACCGTTGTATACGATACATTAATTTGAAGAAACTTTTGTCGAAATTTATTCCTACTTTTGTGTATTAGCTAGTTCTTAGTTCTGTTGGTTGGTCCATTGAAATATTCCCGTATTTTTTTTATCGGTGTACTGATTATATATATATATATATATATATATATCAGCTTTGCTTTAATATTTCTTGACACTGATAAGCAGACCATATTCAAACTTTATTAATCGAGATCTCTTATCCGATTCCGTTATCAAAAACGTTATCACTATGTAGAGTAATGGTAGTGTGGGCTTTCCTTTTTAACAGGAAATGGCGTTCTTGATGCTTACTGAAGTGTGGTTCAAACTAAGCGTCCTGTTATTTGTTCTCAACCACCAAATACAGTATCACATGGTTTTCAGTTGTTTGGCTTAGTGATAACATTCGGTCATAAATACGACCTTAGTAGTGTATTACTGGTCACTAACCGGTCAATGTCATATTTAGAATCCGCTTATTAATTGGAAACGGAAGAATTGTATCAAGCAATATTTTTCAAAGATTCCGTATTTACTCTGAACTACACTAGTTGATCTATGAAGCTCTATAGTTCCGTAATGAAAACTTCCTATAACTCAGTCACAGGTTTTTAGTCCATTTCATCCATATCAATCTGATCGTTAGTATGAGTAGCTCTCAAACTTCTCTTTAGTCCACGTTAATTTGCAATATTTGTCTTCTCTTCATTAAGGCAATGATGTTGGCTGTAACGATTTGTGAGCGCTCCTTGAAAGGTGTTAGTAACGACCTTTTAAAACAGGTGCGTTCAGCATCAGATCTTTGTGATACCACTAAATGTGCTAAATCTTGTGATGATAATAATCTGGATGAATTGGAAGAAAAAGTTGGTGAACGTCTGCTTTGTGGTGTTGTTCGCGTTGGTGCACTGGGAAAAAATTTACTTTTAAGGGGTGAACATTCAGCAGAACTAGTTTTAATATGTTCTAAATGGCCTACTAATGAGTTAACAACTTATGTATCAACTAATATTTCAAAATTAATGGAGGTTAGTTTACTTTGCTCTGTGTTTTTTGTTAAAACACATTTTTGATAACTTATCATTGAATAAATTTTTTTGACTTTGTCAGATATCTTACACTTGTCTACTCTAGGAAAGTTGTAATTAAGGCCTACGTAACTAACATTTTGTAAAGTCACCGACAAAAATTGGCAAACAGTACGAATTGTTTAATTTCTCTCTTCAGCTACACAATACTTGGTAGCCGCCTGTATTATTTATCGAATATTTTTCAGAAAGAAATGTATTGTGCACTTGTAACCAAGTTAATTCTGCATTTAAAATACATTAGTTTAGTCAACAGTTAAATCTGTTTAAAGTATTCCACTTGGACGATGATACCATCTTTTACCCAATTCTATTAAGGATTACATAAAGTTTATAATTTACTATGATCGCTTCATATATATATTTATTATTTTATTGCAGTTAGGATACCAAGAAGCATTCTTCGTTAGTGTTTATTTTTTATTATACTTTGAGATCTTGGGTACTGTTTGAGTAGACCATCCTTTAAATTTTCAATTTCATAAATCTAGCGCACAAGGCAGTAAAGCAACGTTAAAGGAAATTGCTTAGTAACCCCATGTTCCTCTATCCTATCTTCCTGGAAAGTTTTTAATGAGCTATCAATACAGGAAGGAATTCAATTAAAAAATCATTATATTTGATCAGTGTATTCTTCGACCTTTTAAACAATTTAGCTGTATTACTGGTTTCTAGTTACACCTGCCTGTCATCTTTAATGTAACTGACTATATCTTTTTAAATCTCTTCATAAAGTTTTTAGCACGCTGAATACCTTCATATGTGTGACAGTTTTGTCGCTGACATTTATCTAAAACTAATTTTCGGTCTCAATGACTGACTTAGTTTGCCGTCTTAATAGTTTCGCTTCATGTCTATCATTCGCTTTCCGCTAAGGTCACATCGTATCGTCATTGTATACTGTCCTCTACTGCTAAATCACATAACTTGTATTTTTCTGGGACATAAAAATATCATTTCATTATTGTCATTATGAAATAATTGAATCTTTTTTTAATAAGTTGTCTGTGAGATTTGACGTGTGCAATAAATGTGATCATCACTGGTAAGAAAATTACTACTTTGTCGGGGAAAAGCTCTGGGCTAATATTCTCAAATATATTTACTAGACATTTGATAAATATAATATAGCCCGTTTGTTAAAGGTGTATTAGATCTATGTTAGACTACCCATATTATGATTAGTTTTTTGTAAGTTTTCAAGAATCCGATTAGACATTGGAAAAATCAGCTATTCAGAATTTTCCGAAAACCCTAGTCGATATATCCTGCAGGTTCATTACATTAGGGTGAACTTCAGAAATCTCTTTATTGTGAGATATTTTCAATGAACCTGAAGGTGGTATCGATCTTGGGTTGTGATTGGAATATGTTGGCTTGATTTTTTTCATACAGTCACTGGAATCCCGTCTTCAATATACTGTCACAGCAGAGCCTACTATGGGAACAATTACGGTCGTGGTATCCTGTCCAGATCCATCCTTACTGAATAAAAGTGATATCTCTGAAGTAAATGTCAAACCTGCTTGCAAAGAAAACGAATCTGCAATATGGCCTACTATAACACTAATGATCAACCTAACTTCCCCGGTGGTAGTTCAGAAAAACGAAGCTGCTCCTGAAGATAAAAATGGTAATTATATTCAGTCTTTATAAACACGTTTTTCACAATCATTTTATGCAATTGTATTTTTCTACCTGGCGACCGATTGTTCCTATGTCTATCAGTCACTTACCTAAGTGGGAAACCTAAGTCGTACATTTTGCATCTCAAGACCCTGAAACAAGTTCATATACTGTTTTTATAGATATTTATGTTGTAAACGAGTAGAAAAACCGACGAACAATTAGGCACTAGTTTTCTGTACTCATATATGCTTCATATAAATCTCCCAATACATTTCTTTCTTCTTAGTATTGTTAGAAAATTAATTGTCTCAGAAAAAAGGTTATTATAGCCACCTATAATTATTCATTCTATGCTGATTCAGCTGAAATATACAAGTATAAAAGTGAGATTTATGTTTCACCATCAATTCATTTAATAACAACAACCAGAGCAACAATTTTTATAGATACTTGCTATGTACGGACAGCGTAGGAGACCGGGAGGACCAACCTAATTGCTACGGAAATGAGGAGATACAATTTGGTGGTTCTCGGAATCAGTGAAACACGTTAAACCCAAGCTGAACGACCAATAACAGATTCGAAAGAAATGCTGCTGTACTCCGGTTACGAAAAGGAAAATACTTTACACAAGGAGATATGATGCTATCCAAGGAAGCAAAAAAAGTATTTATAGAATGGGAATCTCATGCATCACAATGATAGCAATGAAGAAGATAAAAATCGGTTTTCTGAAGCTGCAGTCGATAGTAGAAAGTTGCTCAGGACATAACCAATCTGATAGAAGACACAAACGCCAAGGTCAAAGTGGACAACACCAAGAATGAAGATATCAACTGGCCAGATCCCGTAGGGATCAATCGTGCACAGATCAAATAGTGGCATTATGGATCATTGTTGAACAATCAATTGAATTTGTGGGTGTCATTACCAAGGTTTGACTTTATAAGTTCAAATAAATTGAGCGTTGGGAAGATTCGTATTAATAAAAATATTATATTTGTAATACCCCAATGAGATATTACGAATATATTATTTTTATTAATAATCAATTGAATGGAATTCGTCACTACATACCAACTTCCTTGACTATGAGAAGGCGTTTGACAGAGTGGATAGAACCTTATGGAACATTCGTCGAAACTGGTGTGCTTGAGAAGATCGTCAACATCATACCGCATTCCTAAGACGGACTACATTGCAAAGTCGTGCATGGAGGACAGCTGACAGATGCATTCTGAGTAGGGGCCGGAGTCAGACAAGACTGCTTACTATTGTTTTTTGTGGAGAATTGCTCGTTTCTGGTTGTTGTAGAATATACTTCTCATTTCAAGCCTGTACTTCTCCCTCTAGATAGTTGGGGCTGGTACGCGTCATTAGCTAGCTTACTGGTCTTGGTCATCGAACCTCGTTCTCGTTCCCAAATCTAAGTGAACTCGTTAAGTTTCAAACCTAACAAAATCGCCACTTAATATCCTGTTACCCGATTTGAACGCTAAACTTTCTCTAATGCCTTAAGTCGATTTGTGGTTTTCACCCTCCGTTTGATCATGGGCACATTTTATTAGTAGCCATTCCATTGACTATGCAGGCTTTTAAATCTTTATTCAGGATACTTGTTAAGAACATACTTGAAACCCATGTAAGTGAACCAACAGATATCAGTAAATAGTAAATTCGGTAATAGATGTTAGTGGTTTACAGTATATAGGGCAATATGAAGACATTCGCTCATACAGTTGATCAATAAATTTAGAATTATTCTTTAACACAATTTGCTTCGGTTTGGGCACCCGGGCAGTATCACAGCCCTCACACAAATCAATTAAGATTCGTGTGGCGCATATGTATTTGGTGCCTCCTTGTACCAATACCTATGTGTTAAAATAAATAAATAATAACCAATTATAATTTAGAAATGAGACAAAAAGTGTAACTGTCTTTTAGATATTTACACTGTATATACGTACTTATCTGGAACTGATGATGAGTTTGCATCTGTCTCTGAACCCCCAACGCATACATTTAAATACAAAACATTTTACTAAAAGACTTTTCAGCTGGTCACCTCTGTGATTTTCCTTGTCTTTATTTTTCACAGTACTGTATGTGTATATTATTGATTTGTCTACTATTTGATTCTGTATATTGTTCATGGAGATATATGTTGACTACGTTTGTCGCTTTTAGTCGTGATTATATATAGTAATGAGTCCTTATTCCCTTGTGTAGAAGTGCCACCAGTTGTTCAACGTTTGATCGTTAATGGTCATCCAATTCCCAAAGAAAAGTGCATCAAATCCATAGATGCTCTTGATCATGCATCATGGTTTCAAGTAAGTGCTTCAGCTTACTACAGTATTTCAGTTTGTCTGGAAAAGTAGTTACTTTTTACAAGTTATTTAGTACTTTTCTTGTATGCTTTTAGAAGTAAAATTTTAGATGCTATCAGTTTAACCGTGCATATCTCAACCTCTCTATTAGTTCTAACAGCATCTGAAATCACAGTATTCATGGTCAAATTCCGCTCTCACTTCCTAATATTTCAGATATTTGCATGGTCAACCATTCTCTCTATTCTCGTACGCCACCAGTGCTGACCATTCGAGTTCATCAAACACTATTCCTAGTCTCCTGAAACCTCTCTCAAAACTGCATGTTTAAACCTCATGTCAAATCATACAATAGGCTTTCTTAGCCGGGACCATATAATTTCTCTTTATGCTGTTTCTCCGAAACACATACAGGATCACTCACTTTTCACCTAGTCTATTTGAAGATCTGGAGTGGTTGGACAAAAAATTTCAGATGGTTTCTTTTTAATGCTCTGATGATTATTTTCACAACATATTTTGATTTTAATCATTTATATTTTCCATTCAGCATATTGCGAGCGGAGGTCCGATACTCTTAATTAGTCGTATTTTACGTGACTTTATTCAATCTAATGAATACTGGATCGAATTAAATGAATTCGTAAGTTTTCATTTAGTTCTGCGTTACGCGTAACAGTTCCATTTTTACGTAGTTTCTTTTTTAAGAATGGATTTACTCGTACATATAACGTCTCTAGTTCAGTATAATTCTTAACTACTAATTTTTCCCAGTATAAGCAGTCATTTATACATATTCATTCAATTTAATTTAATAGGCGTTTGATTCCAGCTTTCTGTATTTGCAACTGGACTGATATATCGTATTAAATACTGTTTCATCGAGTGAATTGCTAAACAGTAATAAAGTTTTCTGTTTAATGTCTAAATTATTTTTCGTTTTAAAGTATTTGTTCATTAGTGGACTCTGAATATTTTATTGTCTTTTATTTTATTAGGATGTTGAAGTACACTTAGATCACCTCTTATCTTTAGAGTATAATATGGTGATTCGTTCTGGTTTCACTTCCCTCCCATTTCAATGTGGGTCACCGAGAAATATGCTTTCTGTACCAAGCGACTTTTTCCATCCTTGCAAATTACTACGTAGATTTTTCGAATCAATAGCAAATGGATATTTGTTCTTTGCAATAAAGCATTCATCTAATTCAAATAACACTGAGGATTCTCCTAGGGAGAACAATATACCTGTGGCGTGTACAAAACCATTTTATGTTACAATTTCTAATGGAATATCAGATGAAGTTTGTGAAAAAATAACTGTTTCAGCTCAACAAATACTCAGACAAATTGCTTTTAATCAATTATACAAGGTAAGTGTTCTTATTCCTGCTCTAGATTGCTTTTCTTATACGTAACGTCCATGATTAAAACGATCCTCTCCTTTTGAAAGCAGTCACCTTAGAACACACATTTGTTTATATCACTGTTAGGTTTTACTATAGTATTCCTATGTTATACTATCGCTTTGTATATGTAGCTTTTGTGTATACTTGTTTTAATTCACCACTAGAAAAATCCAATTGTCTTCACCTTTTTTCTTATATGACTAGTTCTTATACATTCTACACCAGCAAGTTGTCCTGAGTATTAAATTAATTATCTAATTTGTTTGTACTTATCTCTAAGGATCGGTTTCACTCCGCCCTGAAGATATATCAAGCTGTCCAAACACGTTTTGTTTGTAACTTTTGTGTTTAATTATTTTCGATTTTAGTGTCACAAAGGTTAGTAGGTAATCAAGATGATAACCATATCACAAATGGTATGATTGTGTCGTTTCTTTATTTCTTAAAGTATTGTCACTTTATCCATTGTATTCCTTCTTAACAGTGTTTCCTATATTCAGTTTTCCACGCATCTTGTTTTAAGTTCTCTCTTTAATTGATAATCTGAAGTGGCCAAATCAAACTGGAGCATCTTTATCCTAAGTCATAAGTGTTTTTGATGAACGTGTTAATATTTAGAATTATATTAATAGTATATTATAGTCGTCCAACACCAGTCATCTGCCTTCTGTTATGTTAAGGGATAAATATAGAAAGTGGTAAGTTGTATTTTGTTAACAGCGAATTAAAAAAGACAGTTAATTAGCTAAGACAAATTAACCAGGCTTTTATTTCAGAGTTTTCGCTAATTTAGATGGACCTTGCATTCCGAATTTTTACTGTTTATTTACAACCAATTCTCTAGGTTCTTGGTATGGAACCTCTGGATTCGCCTCACAACTCAGATTTTGTCCAGTCAGGTGGTAAACGAGAACAAAATCCTGATGTTTCACAAGGTCAGGATACTTCCGAAGTCGAATGTTCAACTGATGATAAGAAGCAACATAATCCATCTCTTAATGTCAGTTCTGTAGCAAATGGCATGGAGACACAGGAATTTGCGGCAGAAGTACTAAAAGTCGAGTCAGAATGTACTCCAGCCAAGCGAACTCGCCGCGCTACCGCTAACCCAAAATCTTCTACTTAATTATCTGCATTTCAATATCGCACGTCCATTTATTTGGTTCCACTTTCTTGAAGTTCTTTTATATCATCCACATGTTGTTCATTCGTTCTTAATTAAATATGCAATTTCCTAGTTATCGCGTCTACGTTGTTCTATCAGGTACCGTAAAAATCAGAATTGTGATTTATTAGAGACTCGTGAAGAGAAATGTTTAACGTAACTAGATCCGCACTTTTTATCAAGGCAGATTAGTCTTTTACGACGTAGTCCAGTTGGTTGGGTTCAGTAGGGTTCACTTCGTTGTTATGGTAAATATCTTTGCAATGTTTGGGAGTTATCTGATTTAAACTTGCCCCCCAAGAGTGCTCAGGTGTTTAAAAGACATGAATTCAGCTCACGTACGTGGTTCAGAATGTCATGTAATTGTCACTTCAGTTCTTGGACTTTTGTATTACCAAGGGCTCGTAAGATATGTATTTTCGCCATACTGTCAATGACTATGCAAGATTTAGTCAATTATCAGTAACAATTTGACTGGCAGTACACCTGCAAATTTATATCAACTGAGATAACGTGATTGTAATTTTTAAATCGCTAGTCAATCAGTTATACTTGTTTGCATGGTGCACAATGTTGCGATCCACCTGTAATTTGGGATTTTCTGTAGTTTATTGTTGCCTTGGGGTGAAACTCTGCAGCGTTTCAGCTTTTTCTGTAAATGACTTACAATTCTGAATAGGTTGGCTGCATCGACCGTGGTTACGTTTTACTACCACCAGTCGAGACTACGAGTGGTCTTAGCTACTTGGGTCGTCAACCGTCCTACGTGAGTAGATGGGGAAAAATTCCTTAAAATATGCACAAGTTCAGGTCAGGGTCCTTTTAACTCTAGGACAAACTCGCTTGTCATCCGCAAGGATCGCCATCTGTCTTCGTGTTCATATTCATTTTGTTCCGTAGTTCATCGACGGACGAGCCCTTCAATCTACGGGCCTCTGAAGTGACATTGAGTACTAGCCATGCTGCCTCATTATACTTCTATTTCTGAAAACCAGTCAAGGAACGTTCACGGACTTTGTGCAGTTTGTCAAGGTTAACAGTTAAAACTCAGAACTAATTAGGTGACTTTTGATGACTGACGCACGTAGCTACTCAGTCTTTTTTTGAAGCAATATCCTACCTTTATCCTTTTGAGTAGTACCCACAACTGCCAAGTTTTGTTTCACTTGAACTACAATCATTATGTGCACTTCTATAGATTTTCGTTACAAACAACGTATACCTAGGAACTTCCCATGGGTGACCACAGTGGTACAACGTAAGAAATTTATCCTTGTCCTGTAAGCTTCAATGATGTCTATATCTGTTGAACTATAATCTTTGGTTTCGGTCTGTTGATTAACATTTTTGAAACTCAACATTCTTCTGTCCATACACATTCGGCAATCAGTGTTGCGTTGCATAGTGTTTGAGCCGACAAGTTATATGAAGTTACACAGCGCAGTTGTGCTTATGGTTCAGATTAGATTTGTCGATAAAATTCATTCTCTGTGTTCGCAAAAGCTTGTGTTAACGCGCAGTTTTTGTCTAGAGAATTCCTACCAGTTCATATCGAAGCCACAACTAATTCGTATAAAAAATTAGATAAAACACTTTAACGAATCACGAAAGATCTGTCTCATTCGCATTACGAATTCTTTTGGAGACACCAATTGATACCAATCTGTTGATAACGTTGTGTTGGTGAACAGTGCTAGCGGAGTGTAAATACTATGTGTGTATAGGCTGAAATGTTTTCCCTGAGAGGTCAAAATGAGCAAAGCACAAGTGGCCGTTCCTTTTTCTAAAAGCCATTATCAGTCTTTCAAGGCTGGAAAATGTGAGACGTAAAACCCTAGTCTGGCTAATATTTACTATTATTCCACTGACCCCATAGGACACTACACGGGTTAACCCTAAATATAGACTTGTAGTGGTAGGTAGTCACACCATAAAAATCTGCAATTTTGGGGTTAGGCCTATCATTATAGTAGTACCAATACCGAACCGGACCATAATTTACGAATTTCATGGTTGGTTGGTAGCCGTGAGATGATGTATATAAAAAACTAATCGAGTCAGAGTCCATGTTAAACGCTTACAAATCTATTCATTCTCACTAGTTGTTTATCCGTACCGCTACGTCTCGTCAAGTGGGTTATTATGCACTTCTCAATTTTAGTGCTCATCTCAACGTTTGACAGATTTGTGTTCAACAGTTTAATTTTCTTGACTGTAGTAATGGCGAATAAACCATTATTAAAGTATGGGTGAAGGCAGTAACAGAATACAAAGAGATTTTATTCGTGGACTTCAGGTTTCTGATTGGTATTAATGTATCGAATTACACCACTAGGTCATTAGACATAGTTTATTAGAAATGACTTGATATGACGAGACCACCTAACTTACTTGATCGCACTTCTAATTCACATTCTCGTCTATCCTGACTTGCTGTGTTGTGAAAACCAGACGTGCTAATTCAGACAAGATTTTGAAGATCAAAAACAATTTTACTGACAATAATATATACAGACATAGGTGAGCCATGCAACCTCGAAAGTTAACTTTTATTGGCCAACACTATTTGTCATTGGATATCCAACGTTCAGTTTTCCGTCATTTAACTTAGTGACGGCTCGCCTTCATGCTTTACTGGTGCCAATTTTTCAGTGCTATTCAACTGCTACTCCACCACTAGACTTAATGCTAGGTTAATTTGCTTGCAAACTAAGTTGTATTATCGGACGAAGATCACCAAGACATCATTCAAAAGTGGTTCACCTATAATAATAATAATGGTTCAAATGGTTGTGGACGGAATAGAAGCTTTCGCTTAACAGGCTTAAGTGTCTAGTAGCAGGGGGTCACCAGTACCTTCAGGCAGGAACCTGTAGTGACCTACTTTTGTCAACAGAACGCGATTGGTTCGATGAAAACAATTATTATTATTATAACCAATTGTACCAGTGACTGTTTTACTGTGCTCGTTTGTTTAACTGTGCTAATGACAGCCATATACTTACTCTCCCGTTGACTTCGAACTTGTACGAATCCGGTTACGCTCAGTAACCACACTTGTACTCCTTTGGCACGATCTCGGTATTCTTTCGATACCACGAGATCGCCAACAAATACATCTCGACTACAGCCATCATCTGTCTTCTGATGTTGACCTACGGGGATCTTATTGGTTAATTGGCACGTAGTCTTGTAGCGGTGTTCATAGTCAAGCTCAACTCGACACCACGCTACATTTGGTGAGCCAAATATTGGAACACGCCTCAACCTCGGTCAAATCTTTCAAAGAAGGCAATTCGGCGAGTCTATTGTTTTATCTATCCACGTCTGTCATATATTTTCATATTAATTTTTAATATATAATATATTTGACATGACGGATAACGATAAGAATAGTATTAATATAATAGACTCCGATGTACGCGTACCGAATCCTCGGCACTTTTTATTCGCGTGACGATAAATTCCACGCCTTATTCGAGAAATTCCCCAGAATAATTAAACCACTAGAGGAGATTTAATCGGTGACCAATCGTGTGGTACACCACATAGTCACCCGCGGACCACCAGTCACGGCAAGACCACGCCGACTGGCACCGGACAAATTAGCTTTCGCTAAACGTGAGTTTGACAATTTACTATCTGCTGGTATTATTCGTTCTTCTCACAGTCCTTGGGCCTCTCCTTTACACATGGTGCGCAAAAAGGATGGGGTTAGTTGGAGACCTTGCGGCGACTACCGAGCATTAAACGTAGTTACGCGCTTTGATAGCTACCCCATCCCCCACATACACGACATCACGGCATCGCTCAAGGGCACGACTATCTTTTCTAAAATCGATCTGGTACGAGCATATCACCAGATCCCAGTCGCTCTTGAAGACATCGAGAAAACTGCTATCACGACTCCTTTCGGTCTGTTTGAGTTCCTACGAATGCCATTTGGATTACGGAATGCTGCTCAAACTTTCCAAAGGTTTATCGATAGCATAGTACGAGACTTGGAGTTTGTTCACGTCTATATTGATGACCTGCTGATCGCATCATCAAACGTAGATGAACATTATCAAAACCTTAAACTATTATTCCAACGTCTTTCGGATAATGGAATAGTAGTCAACCCAGAGAAATGTGAATTGGGTTAATCAGAAATAATAATTCTGGGTCACATCATCAGACAAGAGGGTATTCTGCCTTGCGAGGACAAAGTTCGAGCAATCAAGGAGTACAACGTGCCGTCCTCAATCAAGGAACTGAAGGCTTTTCTCGGTTTGGTTAACTTCTACCAACGTTTTATCCCTCACGCGGCAGAACGGTTACGACCATTAACCGATTTACTACGCGATAATCCACGCAAATTAGAACTGAACGATACCGCACGTACTGCATTCTCAGAGATCAAAACGGCTCTCGCTGAAGTTACACTCCTCGCTCATCCTGACCCATCAGCCACGCTTAGTATAGCGGTTGATGCATCAGATTTCGCTATAGGAGCCGTTATGCAACAGAATATCTCCGGTAGTTGGCAACCCCTTGAATTTTTCTCACGACGCCTTACTCCCACGGAGACGAGATATAGCGCTTTTGGTCGCGAGCTGCTTGCAGCCTACTGCGCCATCAAACATTTCCGGCACGCAGTAGAAGGACGTCAATTCATCTTATTCACCGACCATAAGCCCTTAACGTATGCCCTGCATACCAAGTCTGACCGCTACTCACCACGAGAGTGCAGACATTTGGACTATATCTCACAGTTCACGACAGACCTTCGTCACATTAAAGGCGAGTCGAACTATGTTGCCGATGCTCTTTCACGTATCCAGACGAATGCAGTTACTTACCGGTGCTCGATCTTCCTGCTATGGCCGCCGCGCAAGCAAACGATCCTGTCTGTACAGAAGCACCACAATCTTCGTCCCTTCAGTGTCAGGAAGTACCCCTAGCTACTAGCTCAGGTACTA